AAGTTAACAATCTTAATCACCCTTTGTCCAAAGCACCAGCTTATGAGAGTTTTAAAAGTTACAAGGGTGAATACAAGATTCTCCTCCCGGCATAAATTGCCTCAAAGAAAGTGACTAGAGGACAGTTAGATGCCATACAGTAATTAGAGAGTAGTATGTTAAAGCTAGGTACAGGTGTAAAGTCCGGGATCTTAAGGATATGTGTCTTAGCGGAGCCTTAGCCTAGAACTTAACAGCTGTCATATAATTTTAATTTTGCCAATAGGAAATTGGGGAGAATGTGCACATTTACCTGATTGGGAAAGAGTCATCTCGTACCCACTCGTTGGCTGTGTCCTTGCACTGTGCAGAAGATGACTCCATCAGTGTAAGTGGCCAAAACAGCTTGTGCCACCAGATCACTGCGGCCTGCAAGCATGGTGGAGACTTGTATGTGGTGGGAGGGTCCATCCCACGGCGCATGTGGAAGTGCAACAATGCCACCGTTGACTGGGAGTGGTGTGCTCCTTTGCCTCGGGACCGGCTCCAGCACACCCTGGTGTCTGTGCCCGGGAAAGATGCCATATATTCACTGGGTGGCAAGACACTGCAAGATACCCTCTCCAATGCAGTCATTTATTATCGCGTAGGTGATAATGTGTGGACAGAGACAACCCAGCTAGAGGTGGCTGTGTCAGGGGCTGCTGGTGCCAACCTCAACGGGATCATCTACTTACTGGGGGGGGAGGAGAATGATCTGGACTTCTTTACCAAACCTTCCCGACTCATCCAGTGCTTTGACACAGAGACAGACAAATGCCATGTGAAGCCCTATGTGCTGCCCTTTGCAGGCCACATGCACGCAGCTGTGCATAAAGATCTGGTGTTCATCGTGGCTGAAGGGGACTCTCTGGTATGTTACAATCCCTTGCTAGACAGCTTCACCCGGCTTTGCCTTCCTGAGGCCTGGAGCTCTGCCCCATCCCTCTGGAAGATTGCCAGCTGTAACGGGAGCATCTATGTCTTCCGGGACCGATATAAAAAGGGGGATGCCAACACCTACAAGCTTGACCCTGCCACTTCAGCCGTAACTGTCACAAGAGGTATTAAGGTGCTGCTTACCAATTTGCAGTTTGTGTTGGCCTAAGGCTGTGGGGAGGGGAGGAGAGCTGCTCACTCCTTTTCCCTCCCCATCCAAACTCAAAGTCCCCCGGGCCCCAATTCAGAGTAATGTATTTTTTGGCACATACTAGAAAGGCAGTGCCTCAGCCCTTCCCTGAACGCATGGAGGTGTTCTGTTTGGGGCTTTTTAGACTGCTGCTGCTCAGCTGGTTGCTTGAACTGACAGTAGGCCAGCCTGTTCTCTGCCATCCCCTAGTCATTGTGTGCCTCACCACAGCTTGCTTAGAGCAAGCTGTTTCTCAGACCTTAGGCACAGCCTCTCCTCTTTACCTGATCAATGTTAAATATAAGCACCCCTGATCCCAGGACATAAGGAAAGATGCCCAATTGTACTTTTGTTCTATAACCTATGAAATGGCTAGTTGATCATTTTTCCACAAAGAATTAGGTGTTAAGAGTTTTCCTTCAGGCTTTACTTAGGAGAATGGACTAAGCTGAAGGTGTACTTCACCAGCAAGAGTCAACTCTAGAATTCAGGACGTTCCTTCTATTGTTTTCTCATCCATCTGTCAGGAAATGTAACTTTGGTTTTATTTTTGGCTTATTCCAAGGGGTAAGCCAGAAAATAGAAATGATTATTTCTGATTAATAGCAGAAACTTTTTCAAGCTCAAATATGTAAGGTGTCTGCTCTTTTAAAAGCTCTAAGCTAAGTCAAGAGCTAGGAAGTGTTGATACAAATAAAAGTTTTTGAAGGGATATGTGTGTCTGTGTTGAATTCCGAAGGGGTGACTTTGAAGGGGCGAGAGTGTTTCATTCCCTCAGAGGGACTCCTTACGTACCATCACATGGCTCAGTCTGCAGCAGTCCTGACTGCGCCCATGCTCCCACTTCTCCAGACAGGATCCCTACTCCACAGGGCCAGTGAGACTCAGATTCTGACAGTGGCAAAGACCCAGAGCTGAGTTTCCTTTTTTCTAGTGCTAAGTCTTTTGAGTTGTGGTGCTAAATATTATTAGGCACAATATTAGGTACATAATAGATTTTTGTTAAAATACTTCTTTAGCTCTATTCAAGAAAAGAAGATGGCCCCATCCCTGTCCTGTATCCCATGAATACAAGCCACACTAAATCTTTTCCTTTCTAGCCACACAACAGTGTTATTTCAAGAAAACGAAACAAGACAGAGAAAGCAAAATTACCTATTACCTATTGGCACATTTTGGTTATGTCAAGTCTGGGCTTAAGCCCTGTGGGTCCTGTTAAGCTTTTTTTATTCTGTATCAAGCAGGAGTGTCTTGAGTTCTTTCTAATCCACATACATCATGTCTTTGAAGTGTCAAAAGTCCCATCCTTTGCTGCCCCTGCAGTAACCTGCTTGTGGAACTCTTTAAGAACATCCAGCTGGCCAGGCCTGATGTGGATGTAAGACCGGATCTTGGCGATGGCTCTTACAGCCTCCTCTGGACTCCATCTGTGCACCTGAAGTACAGGGTTGAGAAATCAGCAGAGAAAGAAAGAAGGAGGTGTCAGGCCGGGCGCGGTGGCTCAAGCCTGTAATCCCAGCACTTTGGGAGGCCGAGATGGTCGGATCACGAGGTCAGGAGATCGAGACCATCCTGGCTAATACGGTGAAACCCCATCTCTACTAAAAAATA